CGGCGAGCCTGCTCTGAACGCGAACTAGTTAGTATACTGCAAATTTTTCAGGATCACACGGACTCCTGGCATAGTCAAATCAGGAAGTCCGGCAGTGACAAATCCAGGGTATTGACTCCGGACTTCCGTTAATTTCGCACCCTGCTTATGCAAATGACTTACATGTTCATCGACCAACGGTTCATTCAGTTGGTAATTAGGGCTCCATCCTGGTCTATCAGGCAGCTTTTCCCCCACTGGGTTCATTCCAGCTATGCGCAAGCTTGTTCTTCGTATAACAGGTGATTTTGGCCTGTACAGCAAACATAATATTAATAATAATTAATAATTAATAATACATACTAATATCAGCATTTCAGATTATATTCTGTGTGCAGTGCATGGTAATTTGAATAATTATATTGATATAAAAAATCAGAATATTTCAGTATCAAACAATTATTGTTAATTAACATTATTTTAATTAGTTTTTACAAATATTAGTTAGATTTAATTATACATCTTCCTGTATTAAAATTACACCAAGGGAATAATTTTCCCGTAGTCGCAGTCGCAATCGCGATGTATTTCCAGCCATTTGCTACGGTCATATGTTTATGAACTCGCAGTTGTCGATGTCCAGCCCATGCGAGATAAACGGAACATTACAGTTTACAATTTTACTTTATCTCATGGGCTGCTTTGCCGGCGCAATGAATGCCACGTGTACGGCCGATTAATTGATTTGTTAACCACCACGCCAACGAGACTTTTAACAATCAGCACTCCCCCCTCCCCCCTAAAACATCAAATCATAAGCCCGCCCCCAGGCAACGATATCCAGCCACGCTGTGGCTGCGGCTGCAGCCGCTCTCGTCGGCCTGCTTCTTACGCGATCCCTTCTGATAATATAAAATGAGGATTGCGGGTCCGAGGAGTCAGATATCACGCCCTTGCACAATCGATAAATTGATAATGACGTAAGGAACCAACACTTTGATTAAGTTCTAGACAATTATTAATTCCTCACACTGGCGAGTCACTTATGCGCTTTCACATCGCGCCGGCCCGATATTATTTTCACTCGACATTCTGGCGAGCGCCACGAGTGCCAAACTGCCCACGCTGTTTAAACGCGCCGGGTCAGCCGTGCAGAATCGCTAGTTTGTCCTAGTCTAAGCTACTGGTGCCTGTTCAGCAGGCAGACACGATAAACGCCAAGCATGCAACTGGCCGTGTGTATAAATTGCAACTGTATTGTCTGAAAAAAATTGCTATATATAAATTATCCAGATTGCATCAAAATTTATTTTTGTATAGCACATTGCTATTGCAAATTTTTGCTGGAAATTGTTTCCCTGTACACACTTATTTTACTCACATGACAGATCATGGATATATTATTTTTAAAAGAATTGATAATTGCACATATAATGGCTCTGCTCACCAGACTCCAGTAACTTTATGAATATAAATAGAAATCATAAAAGTGTTGCTACGAATTTAAAGGTAATATGGCTTTGTACATGAATGAACAATTCAGCCATGTGATGTTGATAAACAAATTCTTATCTGAACTTATACAGACACTGAGACAGAAGATGGATCCTGTTAACAAATACAATATATAATTATATATATAGGTATATGGGGATATATATAGAGTAGTAGTCCTATTCAAAGTTAATTATATACCGGTATAGTAGTAATATAAATAATTTAAATCCTATTTTTAAAATTACATTTATATGCAATACTACAATTATGAAATCAAACACTATTCTAAATATTTTATCACAAATGTTAGCCTATATTAGTATATAAAAAATCAGCATATAGATAAACATTTAAAATAAGATAGCAAATATAAGAACATATAATGTACCTCAATTTCTTTGGTTTCAGACCAAATTGTTGAGGTTTTGGTACCTTTTTTGGTAGTAAATATTTCCTTCCTTCCTGCACCTAAAAGTTAGTTTATATTCCAGCCACTGAACAATTACATATCTTGGGAGCAGAGAACAATGAACAAAAATGTCGCCTTTTCACATGGCGCCCAAAACAAAGATTGCAGAACTGAGAGGTAGAGGAGCCGTAGGGTGTGGAGAGGGAGGTGGAGGAGCCAGTAAAATATTAAGTCATCCACTATTTTACGCAGTTCGCTGTTTTTGGCCCCCTTGTTAAAAATTCCTGGCTACGCCACTGTTTTTGGGTGTTTTCTGATCATATTATTATGTGATTGAAAATAGGAGATTTGGGGATATTTTTTGGGACAACCAAAAATTGTTGCGGACAACACGATTTGATTGACATTTTTTCTCTTATTTCGAGCACTGGAAGGGAAATATGATCAAGGTCAAATAAAGGTCGTAGTGACCTGGTTTTGGTACGCGGCGCACCTTCTCCCCAAGATGTGTAAGTAGACTATGTTTGGTGACGCTAGGTCAATTAGGGGTCGAGTTATAGAGCGGAAGGGAAAGTATCTGCGGCGGCGGCTGGACAGACATGAAATCATAGTATACCCGCCGACTTCGTCGCGGGGGATACAATAAAACAACGTTTTATGTTAGTAGAACTTTAAGTCATGTAGTTTTTGAATGGATGAACCTACATCTGTTATTCCTAGCTTACGCAGGACATTCATTTTGTCGTTGATGTTCTTCTGTATCAGGGCTTCGTAAGCGCCTAGTTTTACTCCACCGAGCAACTGCTCACAGCCATTGTCATCACTGTCCTCATCATCAACTTGGTACTTCGTTGCTTCATCTTCATGTGTAGAGCGTCGTGTACGGCTGGTTGCTGGAGGGGATGGTATTGGACACATCACCTCTTCCTGAAGATGGTAATAAGGAATTTACATAGAAATTGATATATATGAAACATTTCATGTGTATTACATTGCTTATATGTATATGCTATGTGTTTGCCCTCTGTCATATCTTTGTATAAAGGTGAATTTAATTGGTGTGCGGGATTTATCAACTTCGATCGTCTCTCTCCATCTTCGGTATAATCGCAATTGCACTTTAAAGACTAATCCTCACGAGGTTACAAGCAGATTGTAGTAATCACGTACACTCAATAATGAGTAGTACTGGCTCAGGCAGCCCAAGCGTAGTTTAGTACCCCAAATTAGTGTAGCACATGCGAAAACATATATTGCGTGGGTCACAAACTATCCTTGATCTGCTCAAGCTAGTCAGTAGTGCAGATGGAGTCGTTGTCGTATCAGGTACTACAGATATGTACCCGAGGTAGTTTTAGGTTGTTTAGTATTATGTTTATATTTTGATATGAAGTATGTTTAGTGTTGAGTTCCAGGAGGTTTCAGCTTGTGGGCGTTAATTAGACACAGAATAATGCGAGGACAAAAGCCTTGAAGTTAACAGAAACCAGCCATGTTTATCTTAGTTCCCTCAACGCTCCATTAGGGTGGCAGCACATGCCAGTGCTATAACTTGTTGACCAAAACTAGATTAATTATGATCAATACAACATACCCCATTTTAGATGAAAAATAAACTAATAATGCAGCCTGCTTGCAGATATGAATTCCGCATACAGTCCGAAATTATCCGAAAGATGCATTCCATGGACAAAGATTATATAATACCGCTATACAATTGAATGGCTATGTCACCACATTAACGCATCAACACTTTATCAGTTTAAACACATCATCAACTCTAAATCTATTTGAACACTATTCTCACCATTAAGCCACATCTGCTAAACAGATTGTTCACGAGGTCTAGCTTCAACACATGGTTTGGACACTCTGCTGACGCTAGTGCACATACTGGCTAGGCTTGAGGGCTGTCCCGATCAGTACTGTTCACTGATACTGTCCTCGGTGGCGTTGAAGTCAGTTCTACGGCGATGGAATGTCCTGTTCACGACACTAACCAGTCAGCAAAGTTGGTGATGCGGCAAGCTGCTTGCGGGTGTTCAGCATGTACTCGCGATCTTGGCGGTTTCTCGATCGAAATGCCTGCTCAATATTTCTGGGCTAACGCTTTTGCACAAGCTTCTGGCGGTTTCATCTCAGGACGACCCAAGATGAAGTCCTCCTACAACATACGATCGCCGGTGGTCCCGCTTTGTGCATGACGGCTTAGCGGCGACAGTCTGTTATGCAACGAACACCACAACATTGTCTCTGCCGCTCCTTACCAGTTCAATGAGTTGTCTCGCACGCAACGGCGTCTGTCAGCGGATTTCCGCCGTCTTTTTGGCGGTACTCTAGTTTCTGTCTATAGCAGAGATGTCTATATCGGCACGAGGGTTTTAGTTTGCTCGGATGCTGCGGAAGATTTTGTAGCGCACGGTCTACCGAACAGCAATTCTGCCGGGCTGTACCCGTTGAAGAGAGGTTGTGGCTCTGTCGCGTCTAGCAGTGGGCGAGGTAGGGTCTCTTTTGGCCTCTCTTCACGAACCAGGTCCTTCACGGTTTGCACGGCGCGCATATCTACCATTCGCATTGCCGTTCGAGGATAATCAGCTAGGGCTACTCGTGCATGCGTGAAGTTGTAGGTATCCGCG